TGGACTCTGACAGACTCCGTCGAATTAACAGCATTTCAATCAATCAACCAATTAAATTAATCAATTAACAGCATTTCCGTTACTCTTTTGTATTATGACTTCCGTTTATCTTACTTCTGTTGGAAGGTGTCACGAATACAATTGTACCTCTTCCATCGGAAAACTACCTTTTCTATCGTATTGAACATGTATGTAGTTACTCGCGCTCACCTGTGGTCGCTCGTGTTTACTATTAGACACGGACATGATTTACGGTTTGCTATGCGTGATTTCAACATTCGTTTGATTGATAGTTTTTTGCCAAGTCCACGCGTTTATTAAAGCACTTTCCATAAATTTGTAATGAGAACTCTATGAAAGCTTAATTTAAGTAGGGGCAATAGGAGCCAATTTGGGTAAAGGAAAATAGTATATCGCGAGTTAAAAAAAAAAGGTAAAAAAAACATATAACTGAACGGCGTTTGGTGTGCACAGCTCGATGTTGTTGTCTTTCGATTTTGTTGCTTTGGTCGTAATGCGGTTTAATGATGATAAGTAGTGCTAAGCTCTTCCAATGAAATAAACTTTATTAGCAAACTTTCTTCAACTGACCTTCATTTAACTGAGAAAGCTCCCGAAAATATCAAAATTGCTTCCTATGCCTACAAACTTTCGAAATAGATACAATGATCGCTAGACACACAGTGTGGCAAAAAATTCGCTTCTCCTCTTTTAAGTTGAGTTATTCTTAATGAATACCTTATAGCATATTACTTGGAAGACTAACTTGATATATACTTCGTCAAATATATGTTTTTCGGAAAAAACATTCGGACTTTGACACATGGTACGGCCGCGAACTCGGTCAGTAAGAGGTAACTAAAAAAAACATGTTGATCCACTTGGTCGATGGCGCCGTATGATAAGATTTTGCCGCAGAACTATGATTTCCTGGAAAATGTTAGGAGCTATAAAAATTTAGTAAGATTATATCGGGATACAATAAATAAAGAAAACTCGTTTATACATCAGCATGAACAAGTTTATTTGCGTTCCTTTCACACGTAACATTGTCAGAATTAGCAAAAATCCGCTTTTCGTTAAGCAGTCGGATGTTTTATTAGCATTGTAGTGGTCTATATAATAATTCTGAGGTCAAGACTCACTAATAATAATAATAAAAAAATTCCTTCTGTCCGTAAGTTAACATGCTTTCTAAATTGCAATTGCCATCATTACATGTGATAGTTTAACGAAGGTTGATTCATAATAAAAAGATTGGTTGAAATCATCCATATGTCGCTATTGTCGCTTAAACTAAGGTTGAACTAAACAAAATAACTACTAGGTACTTGCGACATTTGTTCATAGTATATACCAACGGAGATAAAAGCTTATTAAACATTGATTAAACCAAGATGTAAAAAGAAAAAAGAAAGAAAAAAAAAACCGCGCCGTTTTGAGGATATCGGACGACCCAATCTCAGACCAACAGATTTGTTCGTTTATTTAAGTTGTTTCTTATCTTCTTTTGGAAAGCGC